TCGGTGTCGATATTGACCATAAAAATATTTGACTTATCGTTTATTTATATTGTAGTAACGAAGATAAATCATGTAATGATAGGCTATACAGTCAATGATTCGTTCTTCTTTATTTTAAAATGTTAATACCATTCAACTGTCTAAAAATTTATTTTTAAAACTTTATGATTAGTAGAGATTGAAAAAAAAACGCATTCTAGAATCAAATGATTCTCTTTCATAAAAACTATAATATAAAAATAATCATAATTACCACTTCTGTTAAATTTGTTTTTGTTCGTTCTCCTAGAGGAAACATTGTATCCTGTGTACCATCTCGTAATTCAATTGGAACCTAATTAAAATTCAAAACAATACTAATAATAATAATAATAATAAATTTACTAACTCTTGTCATTTCAACAATTTTAATTGGTACACTTAAAGATGGTTTTGTATCATAAGCTGTTGAAAATAAATTTCTAACAACAGCTGAATCAATATCAGGATTTGCTTCACCACCAAGACTATATAACCAATTACAAAATTGTTCAGAAACATTATGAAGTCGTGTTTCCTATGAGAAAGAAAGAAAAAAAAAATTGTTTTTTTTTGTTTTATTTTTTATAAAAAATTTAAAATATGAAATAAAATAACCATAGCTGAAGCAGCTTGTTCATCTTTAGTAGGTCCTTTTGCTCTTTGTTTTTCACGTTGTTTTTCAATAAACCATCGATACGGATTTTTTTGTTTTTTTTCATATTCTTCAGCATCCCATTGATTACCTGATTCATCATAAATAATACCACTTCGTCCAATTCGTGTTGAAGTATTTTTACTATCTGATACTTCTGATAATTGATCTTTTGGTTCAATTTGTTCAATTGTTAAATCATCCGTTAATTCATTATTTGTTCTATATTTTCAAAAAAATAAAATAAAATAAAAGAAATAAATTTAATATATATATATCTAACGTTTTTTCAGTTTCTTGGAATATCAAATCAGGAACACTTTTTTCACTACTACTTGTATCTGGTCGTATTATCTGACCACTAGGTGATGATGAAATTGTATCTTTTTGTTCATCAGTTATTGATGTTTGATCATCATTATCTGAACGTAATAATTCAGCTTCGAGTAATTTTGTTAGTCGTTCATACATCTATAGAATTACAAAAATAAAAATGAACAAATAATTACAAATTTTAGTTTGAAAATTTGAATTAATATTGAATACTTCAGGTGATAATGTTTGATTAAAATGTTCAAAAAAAGCCATAGGATGATTAAGTATCGTTGCTATATAATTATCCATCATTTGACGTCGTTTTTCAACTGCTGGAATTTCTCGACTAAAATATAATTGATGTTCTTTAAGACGAGTTTGAACATTTGATGCTGTAGCTTTTATACGACGATTTTCTGAAATTAATACAGGTCCGGGACCTTTATCTGGCTATTAACATACAAAAAAAAAGAAAAAGAAAAGAGAAATTATAATAATTTTATTTTGGGAAAAAAATTTACTTGTAAAATAATATCATCATGTGATGGTGGTAATCCATCACGAAAATCATCAAGACCATCTTTAACAAATTTCCAATTTTTTGTATTTATATTACATGGATATTTCATTTTAAGTCTTTCACGATACCTATTCAATAGATAGAAGAAGATAAATGAGAGATTCTATTTTTTTTTGTTTGTAGGAAATACAATGCAATAATTAAGAAGAACATAAGCAGCTATTTTGTATAATTTTTTTCTCACTTTAAAGAAAAATCTTTTCCATTTATAGACCTATGTTTATTTTTAAAAATTTAAAATAAAGATTTAAATAAAATTAGAATAGTGATAATAATAACAAAAAAAATATATATATACCATGGTTGAAATTTTGGTGATCGACGTCGATCTTCGATTGTTGGTAAAAGAACATATTTAAGATCGTTACTCATGGTATATTTAATTGAATAAAAATAAATACATTTAATCGATTATCCATTGAGTTATACTCTTTAAGTTATTGCTAAGGTAACGAAGTAGTTTGTTTTTAGAAAGAGAATTTCGAAACAAGGAAAATGATTTTATTTTTTATTTAAAACACAAAAAAAATATATATATATTTTTAAATAATATAAAATTAGAGAAAAAAAAATATCTGAATAGAGGGCGATAGATGTCGACTTGTATGTGTAAACAATAGTTGTCAACAAGAGGAAACTTCTTCCGAACTGATACATGTTGTTTGAGCTCATATTAGATTCACAAGGAAACTAAAAGGGGACTTTTAGAACCGAGTTAGAACTATTTTATTGAATTTTCCACTCAGATTTAGATATACAGCGAACTATCAAAGCAAAAAAACAGAATTTCGATGTGAAATTTTACCTCGATGTAAGTCGAATAATCCGTAGAATATCCGAGAGATCAAGTTTACTTGAAAATTCAATATCTCAACAAAAGTATATTCTATATATTATCAGATCTATATATGGACAAAATTCCTTGTTAAAATTTCGTTACTTGATTTTCCAGTAAATATGTAAAAATTCTTTGAAAATTCAGTAAACTTATTTACATTTTTGACCGTTTCAATGATTTTTTTATATTCATTTCATGACACTGCAGGATGTCTAAAAAATCGATCGGAAAATAAAACTTAAATAATTCTTCAACAGTTCAATTAACTTACGTTCCTTTCATCATTTTATTCCATACTCATCAAAATTTTATTCAACATATTGTTAGATAAAATGATTGTATATCTACGAACATTAGAATACAAGTTATTCTATTAATGGTTAAATTTGACTCATCTAAAATTATAAAACGAAAGTTTTCAATGTTTTTTTATCAAACTGATATTGTTGCAGATCATCGGACACATTCCGAATGTCTCACCGTAATGACACAACAAAAAAAAATTGCTAAAGTTCACGTTGGTAATGAAAGTGTATCAGCATTAAATCTTCTAGCTGTTTCCAAAGATTGTTTAATAGTATACTGATTTATGATAAAGTTCAGTAAATAGTTCAACGACATGAGAGATTCCAAAAGATCCATATGTTCATATTATTTAGCACACGATTGGAGGTTTTTTCCATAAGGACGCATGACAGACAATGTCTAATAAAGATCACACTGAAATTACAATAAGAATCGGTAACAAAAATAAAATGATTTTGCAGAAAATCCTATGCAATATCTTTTTTGTTTTAAATACGTGACAACAGTGAAGTTGCATATTTCGGTTCAATGTACTCACTTTGATAAGTGTGAACTTAAATGAAATGATACGAAACAAAACTTTAAAAACTACGGAATCTAATTATAGAAAGTTTACAGATATCGCGTGATTTATTCGAAGGTTATTCTCATTCTTTTTTTTTCTCTTTTCTTCAAATGCCTTGTATATTAATCTATGATGAAATTATCTTTTAAATAAAATAAAAGTTAAGATTATCTTAATTAATAATAGACAAAACAAAAATTTCAAAGCTTTATTTAGTTGAAATGACCTTAGATAAGATTGATGAACTGATATAAAAATAGAAACTAACTCAAAACGTACTAACTATAGTTTTAGCTTGATTTAATTGACAAATCGGAAGTTTATTCAAGTTATGTTATTTTCTTCTGATTTGATGAATTTTCTTTTCGAGTCTTAATTATTTTCTATAAATAACAAAAAGAAAATATTCTTGAAACTATACCAATTGTTTCTTTTTAATAAATTAATTTATTATTATTTATATATTTTCTACTATATACAGACATATTTTTGCATTTGTAAGAAAACAAAAATATTTACTAATTACTTCTTATTGACATCTGCTATAAATAAACTAACAAAAGGCTGATGTCAATAAAATCATTCAAATTTGTCTTTACTCTATTGACAAATAAACACATTATATTTAAAGATAAATTAGTAGATTTATTCAATATTGAATAAATAATTGAAATGTCATAAAAGTTAATTTCAATTAATCATTTTATTTTGTTTTAGATGTATAAATACGAAAATTAAAAATTATTTCATAATAACAACTGAAATGAATTATTAAAATGTAAATATTCAAGTTTAATATTTGAATTCATTTGCATACTTAATGAATACAGTAGAAATTCAAGGAAGCGAAGAAAAAGAAAAATTCTCTTTTCACACAATACATGAAAATCTTAATATCAATTGAAAAATTTATTTCAATAACTAATAAACAATTTATAAGTTAATGTATGTTAAATCAGACTTGTTTTTTCTTTCTTTTTTATTTAGTAATTATAGATATTATCTTTCTTTTCTCTGTTTATTTGCCTTTTTTTTCAGTTATCATCAAAACATTAAAAACAAAAAAGAAAAGATAAACAAGGTTACTGATGCATCTAACATGCAGAATAATGATACTTTGATTTACTATTATTAACTGTTCAAAAAAAAAAAAATAAAATCATTTGATAAAAATTTTATTCATTTGTTTTTCTTTCTTCTATAGAATTTTCAAAGAAAAAAATTTTTCCTTTTTTTTTTTTTTTGTTTGTATAGCAAAATGAAAAGAAACAGACGCAGATTTAGATAAACAGCAAAACTTGAATAAAAGACAGCAAAAAAAGAAGAAGAAGAAGAATTTTGAACAATGAAAAAAAAAAACAAATAATTATGAATAATGAACATAAGAGATATATTGTGCACCGGGCAATCGCATCCACACACGCGCACATATGACAAATAGAAAACAGCGATTAATAGAATGTGTAAAACCAATCATACATACAACTGTACATTGAAAAAAAAAATGAAGCACAAAAGAAAAAAGGGTGTCGAACATCCAATTTAGACAAATATTCATAAAAAAAAAAACTGATAAATGAGATTCACTGTAATTTCTTTTTCTATCCTAAAATAATAGAAAATCAACTGTCAACACACTTGACCGGACAATAATAGAATACTGTTTGTAATACTGTCTGATATTTTCTGTTATTTTATATTAAATTACGTTAAATCACATAAATTAATCAGCAAAAATAAGCGCCTTTTGAGAATTGTCACTACCATCTGTACTACATTCATCATCGTCATCAACAACGTCATCATCATCATCTTCTTTTATACCTACGTAGTAATAATTATAGTTATTAATAAGAAAAAAAAAAAGCACAAGAAACAAAATATTTACTTAGATAATGATTTCCATCAGGTGATGATCGATCATCAAATGGACTATGTTTTCGTTGTTTTAACATTTGTTTATATTCTGACCTATTTAAAAACAAAAACAAAAAAAAAGAAGCAAATATATTTATTCAATATTTTAACTATTTATTGAGCAAATGATAAGATCATAAAACTTACCAACGCATTTTCTTACCGTCGATGACACATGTTCGTTTCGGTCGCGGTCTAGTAAATTTAAAATAAAATAACTTAAATTGAAAACAAAACACAAAACACTCTAATTTAAAATTAAATATACCTATATCGATAATCAGGATATTTTTCCATGTGAACTTTACTTAAACGTGATTGTTCTTCATAATATGGTTGTTTTTCTTCATTACTCATTGCTTTCCATCGAGCACCTAAGATTTTACTTATACTTGAATTATGCATATCAGGACATGCTTTTAAAATTTTTCGTCGTTCTTCACGTGCCCAAACCATAAATGCATTCATTGGTCGTTTTATATGATCATTAGATGATGCTGGTGATGAAGATGTTGTACCTGTTGAATTTATTTCATTATTTCCATTCTTATTTGTTAAAATTGATGAACTATTCGATGATGTATGATGCTGATGATGATGATGATTTCGTTCCTTTCGATTTGTTGATATGTGACGAGCTATAAAAAGAGAAGTTTATTAATATGATTGAATTGTTTATAATATGACATAGTTTTTTGTATGATGAACATGAAATTTAGTTTAATGAAAATCTCATTAATTTGTCGTTCTTCATTTTGAAATTCAACAATTGAATTTAAATTCTTTGATAAAGAACAGAAAAAATTATTTTAACAACAATTGTCATTCGATTAAACACTCATTTAAGCAAAACAGTTCATTAACATAACTTATCGATTCAGTGTATATTTTTTTTTTCTTTTTGTTTCCTTTCAATTGTATATTGAATATTTTATTTGAACAAATAGAAGATGAATATATAGATTGATATAAGTAAAATATTCAATTTGTATTATCAATCTTTTTCCAATCAAGGTTTTATATTAAATATTCATTAACGCGGTTAACAAGGTTTTTATATTTAATTAAAAATAGATTTGATATTCAAATGATTCAACCATAGATAGATATATATATACGTATAGAAAAAATTATATTTACTCGTCTTAGTATCCATTAAAAAGAAAAAAGATACAGAATGATAACTAGTGAAAGTATCAAGTCTGTTTATGTGAGCACTATTCTCATCATCATTATGAATACGTATCACAGCCTTGTATCTTTTCTTCTTTCTCTTGTAACGACCCTTTCTTTCTTTCTTTCTTGTTCGTTCGCCTTTCGTTTAGAAATGTATATAATCGACTAGTGTCTTTTTTTTCTTTCTTTCTTTCGTTGTTTTTGTTATATATTTCTTTTTTTTTTTTTTCGTCGTATCATTACCAATCAACTCAATCGGAATGTGATTTGGTTGGACGATTTACGTTTCTTTTTCCAACGATGGAAGACTCTTTCTTTAATATACAAATACTCTCGACTCACCTAATGACGAGTCTTTGTCAATGGACGAATCGCGATAGTGATGACTGTTGTTGTTGTTGTTGTTGTTATTATGATGGCTATTATTATTATTATTATTCATATGTACTGTTTCATGTGATGATGTTGATAAATTTGAATGATGTGAGAGATGATTGGATGTCGGCGGAAAAGTACACATATTTAGACCTAATCAAAAAGAAATAAAATCATAAAAATAAATTAAAGTATCTTTGTTAATTTACCAGCAACAAATGGAAGCGATAATGAACAACGTGAAGAACCATTTTCTCCATTTTTTGAATTCTTAAGATAAATATAAAGAAAAAAAAAGAAAGTTAAAATAATAATAGAATTTGAATTTATATATACTAATGAATCATTAGATACTGATCCAGCTGATAATTTTAAATAATTTTGTAATTGAGTCATATTAGGAACTAAATGAAAAATTTCAAAAAATAAAAATTTTAGTTTTTTTCTCAGATTAAAAAAAAAAAAGAAGCCTTACTTGCAAATGGAGGAAAAAAAGGCTTCTCATAAAAAAGTGCTTGTGAAGGAAAAAGTGTTGATGCTAATGATAAAGTTGGTGCTGATGGTGATGGTGAACTGACTGTTGTTGTACTTGGACTCATATCATCACTATTTGTTGATGCTAAACGTGTTTGATGTCTTATTTTTGGTTTTGATAAATTTAATGGAATTGTATCATCATTATGAAAATTTCTTATTGAAGAATTGTTTTCATTATTATTATTATTATTTGTTTCATTTGTATTTATTCTTTCACGTAAATGTTGTAAACTATTAATAAGACAATCAATAGTTGATATTAAATTTTCATCATTATTATCAAATTGTTTTTCTTCTAATAATGAACGTATTAAATTAAATATCATTGTTATATTTGTTTTTGTTGTTGATATTGTATTAGTTGGAATTGTAGGTAATTGTGGAATATTTTTTTCAAGTTTTATATTATTATTTGATATCATTGTTGTTGTTGTTGTTGTTGATAATGATGATGGTATTGATGATCGAGATATTTTTGATGATGGAATATTTTTACGACGTTTTCGTTGTGGTTGATTTAAATCAGATGGTATTTCTTTTATTTCTGGACGAGATTCACTTGAAGGTATTGTATTAGTTGAATATTTTTCATTAGTTTTAATATTATTATTATTATTATTTGTTGGTGATGCAGGTATTATTGTTTCATTATTATGAATATTTGATTCAATATGATCGCCATGTGATTCTTGAGTATTTGATAAAGGTGGACTATTACTGATATTGACATCTGTCAAAATTAATAGGTTGATATTTTTTTTTTATATCATTAAGAACGAAAAATAACAAAAGACAAAACACTAATACAAATACTTACGATCATTATGATCGTTGGATGGTGAATTATGATTATAGAAAATATTATTCGATGATACTCGATGAAGAAGTGGTTCAGTTTTAATATATTTTGCTGTTGTTATAGATGATGTTGTCGTTGATCCATCCCCGGTACATAATGATGTTGTGGATGCAGATGAATCAACTTGATCAAAATCATACTTACGTTTTACCGACATTAATTAAAATAATGATCTATAAAAATAAAATTAAAAAACAAAAGTTTTTTTTTTTTGACTATCTCTAATAAAGACGGGTAAATTGAGACAAATAAGCTTACTTATATGATTATGTTTATATCTATTCAAGTCAACTATCATACTAACTATTAATTGAGGAGAACAACAACATCAACACAATAGGACAAATAGGCAAAGAGAGTGAGATTGAGAGAGAAAAGACAATAGCTGCCTCATCGAATCAAGTTCATTGATCAAACTCAACTAGTAAAAAAGCGTGTCGATAGCAGCGGTAGCTCAAATCGTATACAAAGAAAGACACGCACGCTTAGACACAAAAGAAAACAGAGGCATCTGCTCGTGTTCCATTCATATATATCTATATATCTATATATATATATATATATATAGTCTTTTTCTCTTGGATGCATATTCAACGACAGAAGTAAGAAACAAAGGAACAATGGAAAACGAGAAGAGACAGAGAGCGACTAGTGAAAAAAATCTCTTTTACTCCTTTCTCTTTTGCTCAATGTTAATCGGCGCATTCAAGTGTCATGTTGATCTTCACTGACGACAACAACAACGATAATGCTACCATCAATGCATCGATGCAAAGCCACAGTAATAGTTGCCATGTATAATTTATATATATATACATGTGTATTTATATATATTCATCTACATTTTATATCAATTGATGAATGAAAATGAATGAAACCTTACCATTGCTCTCTTTTCTTTTTCTTCTCAATTGAAATCGATAGATTTGAAGGTAAAGATTTGTTCGGTTGCTCGAACGGGTAATTTATAATATGTGAGAACCGCTTTTATTAATATAAAAAAAGAGTAAAAGAAAAGAGAAAAATCTTATGTGTGTTCGTTTTGTCTCTGTTTCCTCTTAACTCATGTTAAAGAGAATAAGTAGAAAAAGAAGACGAAGAAGAAGAAGAAAAAAAACCTGGCATTGCACTAGGTTATTATACTAAGCAAGGATCAGTCTGTGACGGCAGGAGACACAATAAAAATGACAATATATATTCATATATATCGTGTATATGAATCTAGAATAATTTAATATGATTATAAACATGTTAAAGAACGTCCGCGAACAACAATCAAAGGTAAAAATAACGAAGCAAGTAGAAAGGAAAGTGATAAAATATCTACATTGAATATATAAAAATTGAATCATCATCATCATCATCATCATCATCAACATCATCATCCGTGTTGTATATGAAGATATATATGCATGCGCTTTCATGATTGGCCTTGGTTGTACGATATACAGGCATAATTGTGAAACGATTTCAATCTTTTCTCTCTCTCTCGCTAATTACCTGTGTCCACCGATATAGTTGACAGGAAAAAAAAAGTCGACTTAGGACTATTATTGATCTTCTTCTTTCTCTTTTTCCTCCCTTCGAGTTGCTTTACACAATATGAGGCTGATCAAGTGAAACAAATCTAGTCAAGCGAGTAAAGAAAGAGAGAAACGACAGAGAGGAAGAGAAAGAGACGTACAAAAAGAAAATCTTCACACTTCTAATGCACACTTTTATTGAATATATATATATATATATATATATTGCATTGCATGCAAGTGTTTGGCGTGTGCACATGCAAAACTGTAAGAATAACATTCTGTACGTTTTAATACTCGTTTGGCTTATATATATATATATTTATATATGGTACTGACAATGACTATTGATTATTTACATGGGAAGTGAAACCTTATGTGAACAACATCACTCGCCAAAGGATAGAAAAAAAAAGAAAGACTAAAAATAATAATAATAATAATAATAATAATAAAGTTGTTGCAATTATATGTAGGTGTATGAGAAAGAAAAGAGAACGAGAGTAAAGAAAGAGAACAAACGATCGAACACGATAAGTAATATGTATGTGTGTATGTCGTGTCTTCTAGATATTCAATAAACAAGAGCCTTTTTTTCTTCTCTCTATTCATTACCTGTATGTCTATCTGTGAGAATGACAAGGCAACAGGGTAGAAGCTAATGGAGTGTGAAAGCCATGCAAGACGGATGAAAAATGTCACATTTTCTTATTTCGTCGTTTAAACGACGGATGTTTATCGCGCACAAGACACTCTTCTTTCTTATTCCATCATACCCGGATTTTAGTTTCATTCACATAATTGATATTGTCACACACATACACACACACACAATCGTAACCCATTGTTTTTATGACTAGTAATAGTATAGTAATAGTTATATGTTACTGTTTTTCTTTTTTTGTATTTTTGATTGATGAAATTTGTTCTTCTCATTCTTCCACTAATAATATGTTCAAACATATATATACACATACATTTAGAACAAAAAAAAAACTAGAGAACTAAACATAAGTAACAATTAGATATATATATATATACTATTTAATATGAACATCTCAACTCTCTAAGACATAAATCCTTTCAATACGATGACGATACTATAGTTGCTTACCGTGTTATACAACGCCTTTTGTATTTACCTCTTGCCTAGTAAAATAAATGGATGATTGAATATTATATATGAGTGTCCGTTTGTTATTGTCGCTGAGAAATAATTTTGCTTTTTTTTTTTCTGTTTCTTACGCTTTACTTTTGTTGTTGTTGTTGTTGTTGCTGTACGAATCGAATGTCAATCGAGTGCACAAAGAAAAATTATTACCACTAATAGCAGTTATGCATATAGAAGTGATGGTGGATACACCTAGGTACTGTGATTATGTGTATGTGAGTAGACGTTTTTTCCCTCTCTCTCCTTTCTTTTCTATTAAGAATCTATTGTTCGGAGTGTGTGTCGAACGCGCAATACGACGATGACGCGCAAGACTTGTTCTTTACCGCTGCTGACACAATACACTCTTCTCTTTTTCTCTCTGTCTGTCTTCCCTTTTTACGCTCGACTTCACATCATCTATATTCAATTGCACCGTAGTATATGCATATACACATACCGAACACAATGCACATCATCACTGCTCTATGCACAATATGCATGCAAACTGATTTTATACATAAAACATACTCATGATTGATAAACTGCACTAGTCACTCATTCTTTCACTCGCGCGTATACATATAAACCCTAATATTCAAGTAAAAATCGCCTGACAGACTATGATAATGCAGCTCGTATTGTTTCTTTCATCTTCTTTTCAAGTTGAAGAAAGATACCTTATTCTTCTTTTTTTTTTTCTTCTTTTTTTTTTCTTTTTCCGACTTGGCATAACACGAACAATAGAAAGACAACGATCTTCCCTTCATCCGTCTGTCGAGCAATGGCATTATTAAATCTCTCTTGTCATCAGGTGTCATGGAGAGAAATATAAAGAGAGAGAGAGAGAGAGCAAAAGAAGAAAAGTAATTTCTACTAAAAAAAAGACAGCCGGAATAAACAGCCGTCACCAGCATCGTTACCGATTTTATTTATTCGTTACAATGAATAGACAACATATGTGCATCTTTTTCGAGTATATGTAACAATCACTTTTAATCGATCTTCACTGTTCTAATTTGTACATCACTGTTTCTCCTTGTTTCATTTTTCTTTTTAACTGATCAATAGTGAATATAAAAACTTGACAACCTCAAGGATGTATACATGGATGAAAATATGTCAATTGTCGAATAACTTCTAATAAGAGAATATATAAAGAAACAAGAAAGAGAATCAACATACCTGCCTTCTTGTCACAGTAACAGATCTTCTATTATTACTATCAACATCACTGATTTTCTCCCTCTCTCTCTCTACTGTAGTAGTACTCATTCGGCGCATCTTCTTTCTTCTTCATCGTCTTTTTCTTATTCTTCGTTTCCTCTTTTCTTATATATATATATATATAGTTTTTTTTTTGAATAATGCGTGCATGCAACAAAAACCTCACAGGTTTTCTCTCTCTCTTCTCACTCGCCTTCTTGTTCCATTGTCAATTGTCCAACATCATGTCATTATCCGCTGAGTTGAAGACAGACGTGCACACGCGTGCTGTGCCATAACATAGGGAGCATCCATTGTTTCGCTTCTCGTCATCGTCTAATATTTAATTTTTTTTTTCTTCTTTCTTGTCGCTTGCCTTCCACTCAAAGAAATTCAATAATAAACATGGCCAAAGTAAGAAAGAAAGCAAAAGAGAAAGAGAGGACAAAGCGAAAATGACGATGATGATGATGATGATGTTGTTGTTGTTATATATTTAAGTAAAGGAAAGATTATATATGTCTATAAGTGCTTTAATTCAACTCTTATGATATAAATAAGAGAAACTTTCCTTTGTTTTAAAAGCAAAAAAAACCAAAACTACTATTACTTTTTTTTTGTTAAACATTCGAGAAAAAAAAACGAAGTACTTCTACAAAAAAAGAAAAGCTTAGTTATTTTACCTGTCATGAAATATGGACAATAAAGGAGAGAAGGAAAAAAAAGAGATTGTATATAACACCATGAATAAAGCGAGATAAATGCTTAAGAAAAAAAAAAAGAAAAGGTGGTAGAAAATTATAGACACATAAGTAGATGTGACAATATTGGTATGCGTGTGTGTGTACTTGCAGTATATATATGCGCGTTTTGAAAAGATTTTCAACGACAATAGAACACACATACACACATACAAGTAAGAGAAAAAAAGGAATAAAAGGGAGAGAAGAAAAACGAAGAAGAAGAAGAAGGAGGTACGTAATTGTACAATATCGTGTGTGTATGCCGAAGGTGGCATGTATGCATTGTCCCTTGTTGGAAGAATGAATGAATGAATGAATGAATGAATGAATGAATGAAAGAATTGTACGAATGAATGGAACTGCTCGTTATGCATTATGATCTCAAGGCAAACGAATATGCACAAACGAATAATTGAGAAAGAGAGAATAAGCGATTATAAACACTAGCTCGAAGCGATTTTCAGAACAAACAGACATAGACTACCGTTACAATAATCCTGTTTGGATGGTATTGTATTCTAACCTATTCTCAAAC